ACAACTCATTATTTGTTTTTAAGCTCAATCCTTCAGAAGGTTATTATCTGGAGTTGAATAATAATAGATCCAGGCCCTTTTTATGTGGAGGAAATCTTAGACAACCGTGTTCATAGGAGAGGACATTAATCAGAAGAGAGAAGTGAGCCTTGTTCCTAATAATGTTTGCATAATAGCTACCCTTGGGTGTATTGCATGACTTAAAATAAATATTCATGCTCTTCACATCCAGTACAATTGGAAATTATTCGTGTTTATGATTCTGTCATATGATCTTCTACCTATTCAAGGGGACTTCAAACTGGGAGGCTGTTGGAAACCAACAAACAAAAATAACAATGCTTGTGACTGATACGGGGTAGAGTTAAAAGAGGCTGTAATTCTGGCTACTGGGAGAAAAGGAGCAGGTAGGAACTTAACTGTTTCCAGAGGGGGAGAAACGGGACTCACACTGGCATGCTTAAGGACATTTATATGCTCCCCTGGTTTGCTTTTAGCTCTTCAATACTTCTCAATCAGCAGGAGAATAAAATTTAAATGCCTTATCTTGGTGTCAGACTTGCGCCCTGGAGTGGTTCCCGTGAAACTCTGGATCGCGTTACCTGAGACTATTCTCCACCTCAGATGTGGCAACACAAAGATCTTTCCAGATTCGCTCAGACACCATGACTTACCTTTATCTCCTTGTTCACATCCTTCCTTCATCTTGCAAAAATTTTTCAAACCTTCTTTGCTAACTAATCCATGTATCATAGAAGAATCAGCTTAAACTTCACCTGCTTCAAGAAGCCTTCTATGAACTTTATACCTAGTCAAGAGTTTTAGCCAGACTGTCCTACTTTCATTAATGTATATGTTGAGTGATCCTTAAATAACCTTTGTCCTGGGGAGTATTTTTGTCATCTTGCTTTGTTGCTTACATGCACCAAATTTTATAACATAAATGCTTTCAGTTAATTAATTCATTTTTCTTTCCTTTTCTGTCTTTCTCTTTTCTGTGTTTCTCCCTCCTTTTTATCTTTTAAATTCTGAGAAATGTTTCAATACAGATACAGTCTTAATAACATAGACTATGTTTTTTTTTGTTTTGTTTGAGTGTTTTTTGTTTGTTTGTTTTACAGGGAGTCTTGCTCTGTCACCCAGGCTAGAGTTCAGTGGCATGATCTTGGCTCACTGCAACCTCTCCCTCCAGGGTTCAAGAAATTCTCTGCCTCAGCCTCCTGAGTAGCCGAAATTACAGACACCTGCCACTATGCTCAGCTAATTTTTATGTATTTTTAGTAGGGACGGGGTTTCACTAAGTTGGCCAGGCTGGTCTTGAGCTCCTGACCTTGTGATCCACCCTCCTTGGCCTCCTAAAGTGCTGAGATTACAGGCATGAGTTACTGCTCCTGGCCAATAACATAGGCTATCTTTTGAACTTCTCTGTGTTCAATACAAGGCTTTGCATTAACTGCTCCTTCATGCAACTTTCCTAATCTTATTTCTCTCCTATTAGGGACGTTCTGCTTCCATCAGGAGAACATCCTATTGTATCAAAGTCCAGACTGATTTGTCCTCCTGGAGCTGTAATTGTTAATACAGCTGTCGCTTGATACCTGTGGGGGGTTAGTTCCAGGATCTCTTGCAGATACCAAAAGCTACATATGCTCAAGTCCCTCATCTAAAATAGCTCAGTATTTGCGTATAACCTATGCATATCCTCCTCTATACTTCAAGTCATCTCCAGATTACTTATAATACCAAATATAATGCAAATGCTATATAAATAGTTGCTATATTGTATTTTTTTTTTTAATTCATGGTATTTTTTATTGTTGTATCATTATTATTATTTGAATATTTTCGATGTGAGGTTGGTCCAATCTGCAGATGTGGAGGGCTGGCTTTACTTTCTTCAGCCCTTCCCTGTCCTTTGATGCAGGGTTTATGTCTTGGAGTTAACCACATCCTTGGCTCATTTATCTGTGCTTCTAATCTGTTGGCTTCTATATTAACCAAGATATGTCTGCTTAGCTTCACATGCCAATTTGACCCTTATTGGTAGGCTCCTTATGAAGGTTCAGATGTCTTTTTCATGTACTTATGTGCAGTCACAAAGTACTGAAAACCGTGCCTTCTGTTTATATAACATATCTATTACAAAACACGTTAAAAATTTTGTCCTGCTGGGAGGTGAGCATTGCAGCTGTTAACCTCATTTGAAAATGAGATAATTGATTCAAAACAATTGAATAACTTCCAAAATGTATGTGTCCAATAACTTGTTGCAATTAGAATTAGACTCCAGTTAAGAGTCTTTTTTTCACATTACAAACCTGACAACAGTGTTTTTCTCACTGTCTACAGGCCTTGCAGAGCCTCGTAGAGTTCTGTGCATGGTAAACTCTCTGAGGGCACCGGAGAGAGGCTCTCATGGGGGTCTGTGCTATGGTGCTGATTTGGGCCACTATACCCCAAGAGATTTACTTTAAACTCCATTGTGGACATTTATAAAAGGAGGAGTGAGGCACCATGTTTTCATAGGTTTTTTTTTTTTTTTGACACATAACACTTTATTAATTCCCTTTCTCTCATTTTCATCTCTCTTCTCCTTTTCTCTCTTTGCTTTCTTTTCAGTCAGTTCAACAATTAATTGGTGTATACCTACAATGTGCAAAGCATTATGCTAGGATTCTGAGGGGAACACCAAGAGGATGTCGTTTATAGCTCGTTATGGAGAGGAGCTTTCCTTCTCTCTTTTCTGTTCTCCATTCTTTTCTTCTTCCTACCTTCTGTTTCCTCCGATGCTCAAGTAGCCCTCATTATTTCTGTACATTTCTAAGGCTTCAGCTTTGGTCAAAGGGAAGGCACTCAGCTCAGGGTGAGTTTAACATGCTTATGGTCCTTTGCATCTGCTCCCCCAGGACTCATAAATATGCAATATAAAAAGCTTTGGGGGTTTTGCTCAGTGAAAGCCGGGGACTCCATGTAATTTAATGCATGATACAGCACTTTTGGCTAACTCTATATGAGAGACTACTCAAATAAGGATAAAGTATCACTTTACAAAAATACATTTAAATTATTTTTCTTCTAAAACTTTGTGACTTTAAAGCCTTAAAATCTATTTTTTGAAAGTCAAAAAATAACAGATGTTGGCGAGGCTGTGGAGAAAAGGGAATGCTTATACACTGCCGTTAGAAATTTAAATTAGCTTAGCCACTGTGAAAAGCAGTTTGGAGGTTTCTCAAAGAACTTAAAGCAGAACTACCATTCGACCCAGCGATTCCGTTACTGGGTATATACCTAAAGGAAAACCAATCATCCGACCAAAAAGACACATGTACTCAGTGTTCATCTTAGTGCTCTTTGGGATAGTAAACACATGGAATCAGCAGAGGTGCCTGTCAGCAATGGAGTAGATAAAGAAAACATGGTACATATATACCGTGGAAGACTACACGGATATAAAAAATAATGAAATCATGTCCTTTGTAACAACGTGGGTGTAGCTGAAGACCATGATCCTAAGTGAACTAATGCAGAAACAGAAAACCAAGTATTGCATGTTCTTACTTGTAAGTGGGAGCTAAAGTTTCGGTACTCATGGACATAAGGATGGGAACAGTAGACACTGGGAACTCCAGAAGGAGAGCGGGAGGAAGATAAAGGCTGAAAACTTCCTGTTAAGTACCATGTTCACTCTCTGGGTGACAGGATCAATAGAAGTTCCAACCTCAGCATTATACAATATATCCTTGTAATAAACCAGCACATGTACCCCCTGAATCTAAAATAAAAATGAAAAATGTAATATATATGTCATTATAAAATCAAGATATTTATTTCTCTAAAAGGACCATTTCCAACCTGATGCAAATAGTTTCCTTTAGGAACCATAATTGTCATTGGACACTCATATGTTATTTTTCCCTTTTGTCATATTTTCTCACTCACTCATTCATTCATTTATTTTGAGACAGAGTCTTACTGTGTCACCGAGGCTGGAGAGTAGTGGCGCATCTCAGCTCACCGCAACCTCTGCCTCCTGGGTTCAAGCGATTTTCCTGCTTCTGCCTCCCAAGTATTACAGGTGTGCACCATCACACCAGCTAATTTTTGTATTTTAGGTAGAGATGGGGTCTTACCATGTTGGCCAAACTGGTCTTAAACTCCTGACCTCAAATGATCCACCTACCTCGACCTCCCAAAGTGTTGGGATTACAGTCTTGAGCCACTGCGCCCAGCCTGTCATTCCTTTTCTATACCCCACATGAGAATGAGATACATGAATCATTAGACATTTCTGTTTTTTTCCCCAAGGCTACATATTCTTATAAGTAGTTTAAATTACCTATTACCTTTAGCCTTTTTTTTTCTTTCATAAGAATCATCAATAAATTAAATGCCAAACACATGGTTGTTTTCTCGAGAACACAATTAAAATAGATTTGATTCCTCTTTCCTGTCTCCAGTCTTCTTAATATTCCTAGCAATAGGTGTTTATCATAAAACACAAAAGTACTGGTGACTGCTTAAATCCCAAGAGAGCAAAGTAGAAGGAAATAGAAAGAAGGAAGCAAGTGCAATCATGATTAGGCACCTACTCTGCATCCGTGGCTGGGTTAGGAACATTCACAGGACTTCATGAACCCTTGTAACTATCCTACTAAGTTTAAACTTTCTCTTTTACAAATGTGGAAACAGATTCAGGGGGGTTAAATGATTTGCCCAGTGTCCTACTACTTAAAGTTGACATTTGAACCCAATATGTGTGACTCCAATGTTTTAAATATTTACTGTATCAAGGCTGGAGGGGGGCACACATGGGTTCTGGAAGGATGCATGGAATGGGTACCTGGGTGGGGAAGGGCCTCAGTCTGTTTGACCAAGATATTTTCCTTCCCTGATTCCTGCGCCAAATGTAGACTACTTGTCCAAAATATGGATCCAACTTTGTGTGATATTTTAATGGAAGGGTCTTCTACTAATGGCACATCTTTCTTTTGTTTTCACAGCAATTTTGCAGGCAGTAATAGCTGGTGATCTTATGAAGGTAAGATATCTTTCTACCAAATCTTTGGCGACTCCTTAAGAACTTTAAGTCAACATCATTCCTCACCACATTTCTATGTCCCCATCTATCATGTATCATCCCACTGCCTGCTCTGGCTGAGTGGAAGCGGTAGGATGTTGTTTTGAGAACTGAGCAAAGAGGATGTTCAAGAGCATCAGGGCACTTGCCTCAGTTACTTAAAATGAACTTCATATCCCCAGGATGCAGTGTGCACAGTGCCAGGAATTTCTACTCCCTAAAAGCTGACATTTGAAGAATTTAAAGATTTCCTTTCAGGCAGGTATTGAAATGAATGCATCTGTAAGAATCACCTGGACAACACTCAGAAATGCATTTCTCAGGCCAGAGATTAATCTTTCCTTGTTACTGTTTTATACTTTGGGGATGACAGCCAAACAAGGACCCTCAGTCTGATCCACCTGGAATAGTTTAATTTACGCTTGTGTTTTCTGGTGAATTTTGTTCAGAAGGAAGGAAGCAGTCACCACTGCCCTGACGGTGAATGTAAAATCTGACATCAGACTTTCTGAGTTCAGATCTCGGCTCTGTCATTCACTGTCTGTGTGATTTTGGGTAATTATTTTATTCTCTCTTTGCCTTAGTTTCTTCATCAATAAAATGGAATAATGTTACCTTTCTCTTTGGCTTGTCATGAGGAGTAAATGTAATAATGCATATTAAGGTCTCAAAATTGTTCCTATTACATGTATTATATTTTATTTGATATTCTGATATATCAGAATATTTTATTAATATTCTGAGAGTGTCGATCTGCATTTTTAAATAGTACACATGATGGAAATACAAATATTTGTTGTATAATATAGCATCATCTATGAATATTCTACAGCTGTGTTTGGTCCCACATCATTTTCAGGCATCAGGCCCATGACTGCTCATATGCCCCTGCACACCCCCTGCTGGAACTGATCTGCATTGTAATAATGACAACTGCCTGGAGGCTGAGGCCATGCCTGACTCCTCAGCCTGTGGAGTAAGGTGCCATTGCAGATCGAGGAACCAATAGCCCTAAGAGAAAGCTGAAAAGTCCGACCCCCAGATATAACTATTTTGTGGGGCACATCTGTTGGACAAACTGAAGGACACCTGTGCTACATTTTTCAACAGGTTACTAGAAAGAAAACAAATGGTAAAAATATTGCAAACATCTTGATCAACTGCCTTCTTTAGATACATAATACTGAAAATGGTGCCTGTGTCACCGCACAAATCATAGTGCACCATTGCACTATATTGCACTATATTGATGAGTTCGGTGCCGTTTCTTACCAATGGGATTAAGCCCACACCATCCTATACTCCATGCAAGACCTTCCATTAGGTTTTATGGGAAATAAAGGCATGAATAAAATCGATTCCTGCCCTTGAAGGGTGGGGAGTTTCTACATCAGAAAGTTTTGCAAAGCACTGTACATTTGAGACCCTTCCACTTTATTTTCCATATGCTCTTAGTTTAGGTAACTGATTTCCCAGGACCCTGAGTTTATTATCACACTTTTTTTCATACTTTTAAATAGAGAATCATTTGCAATGTGGGAAATCACCATATCCAGCTGGTTGTCTTATTATAGGTTGGTGCAAAAGTAATTCATTTTTTTTGTCATTTCAGTGACAGAAACCGCAAGCATTTTTGTACCATTCTAATGCATTTTCTGTTATAATTCTTTCCCAAATGACTAAAACATGACTTAATAACACCTTATTTACTGAGAGATGGAATATTTACTGAGGGCTTAAGGTTTTTCTTTTTCTCTCTTACATATTTTCTTTAATTTTCCTTCTCAAATAGTGCCCTCTTTCTTTCTCTTCTCTACCTTCTTTTGTTTCTTTCTCCTGAGTAGAAAGCACAGTATTTATTAAATATTAAGTTGGGTACATGCATTTGTGTTTGCACGAGAGAGGGAGAGAAGGAGAGCGAGAGATAGACTAGAGAACACAACATCTCTGGAGCCGCCCCTGTATGAAGACTGTCACAAATAGCTCCTGGACAACTGGGCTGTGAAGAATGCCCATGGAGTAACCTCATGTTCGTGGTGTCTGGAAACAGCACAGGAAGGCAGGATCAAGGCAGTTGACCCTGAATGGGTCTGGCTGCGTCCATGCTGCTATCCTTTGTCAATCTCCCCGCAAAGAAAGGGAGTGTCATTTTTAAGACAATGCTGTTGAATAGAACAGGATTCCCTTTTAGATTTTTGTGGAAAATTGTTGGCTACTTCTTCCTGCCCTCCTGGCCCCCAGTTTAGGGATGAAAGTCCCGTATGTTCTTTAACTCCATTCAACTACTTACTGCTTTTGATCCATGTCTTGGGAGGTCTTCCATGGCTCTGTTTCTATCCCCTGCTTCATGCTTCCCTAGTAATTCTCTGAGAACTTTGTGATGCTTCTGCCCATTAAAGCGTAATTCTTTACCTGTCCATCTCCCTGATGGGCTGTGAGGGCTTTGAGCACAGTGACTGAATTGTATTCACATTTATATTCCTGGCATCTAGCCCATGACAATTCTATGGATGTATTTGAGTGAAGACGTGAACTCTGAATTTACATTTCTTTTTTAAAAACGTATTTTTAATTGACAAATGATTATACATATTCATGGAGTGCATAGCGGTGTTTTGATACCTATAATATACAGAGATCAGATCAGGGTCATTAGCATATTTACCATCTCACACATTTATCATTTCTTCATGTGGGGTACATTCAACATCCTCCTTCTAACTATTTAAAACTGTTTAATATATTATTAACCAGAGTCATCCTACAATGGTATAGAACACTAGGACTTATTCTTTGCGTTTATGTCATTTATGCTCTTTCACCTTATGGGATGTTTGATTATCTATAATGTGTGCCATCTAACTTCTTGAAAGATAATGTGTTCCTTTTGCTTGTTACCTGCTGGGTTATTTAATTCTCTTTTGTCCTAAAAGTACCTATTAGAAGCTTCATGCAGGCACTCTTGTCCTGATATACTGTAGTTTGGAGAAGAGGGACCATTCACATTTTCTGTATTGTTCAATATTTTATAAACTTAGACCATATCCTCATTTAGCCACCTTATTCCCAGGCTACAAAATTCTGGTTTTCTTCCCCAGTCCTCTCTCATGTAGAAACGACTACATTTTCTGAATCATTTTGGGTCTCATTCTGTAGATCATCTCTAGCCTGTTAGGTATGTATTGGGTGATTAACAGAAGGTTCGCAGGCTGGGCTGCAGATCTGGATGAAGACGGAAGCCAGACGTGTGTTCATGTGCGTGCGTGCACGATGCATGCATATGTGTCTATATTTGTATGCAGTGATCTTACACAGGAGAAACAGAAGCAGCTTTGATATTTGGTGTTTAGGTTCACGAGACTAAAGAAAAACTAAAGGACACAGGCAAGGAGCTTAGCTACAGTCGCCAAGCTATTCCTGCTTATGGCCATAATTACTCTTTCACTCAAGAGAATGCTAAGCCAACATAGAGATGCTTTTGTTCTCCACTCCACCCCTCTCCCTCTTGGAACAGAGACCATAGGGACCAGTGCTCAGAAAATAAATGAAAAAAGTAAATCACCATGAACTCAGTTTCCCTAGCCTATTCAATACCCACAGACTCTCTCCAGAGTTAGAAGAGGCCGTGGTCATCTCTGTGAGTGATAACAATCCAGGAATGTTACTTCATCATTTTGACTTTTCTCTCTGTCCTCTGAGGCTAGAAGCATTTGTGGTTTGCTACATGACTCTTGTTTTATTACCAGTTAGCTGTTATCCTTGTTCCGGATTCCGCCTGAGCTTCTTTCCGTTATGTCTCTCTTGCAGCTAATAGAAAGCTATAAAAATGGAGGCAGTCTGCTAATTCAGGGACCAGACCACTGTTCACTCCTTCACTACGCAGCTAAAACCGGCAACGGGGAGATTGTGAAATATATCCTTGACCACGGTGAGTAGGCATAGTGAACTTTCCCAGGATCACTTATCTGTGAAATCCATTGCATTGTCTAAGATACCCTTCATCCAGGCACTCTTCAGAATGGCAGAAATACTCTCAAACGTCTAGCCGGCTCCCCTGCTTCTTAGAGGCAGTCGTGGCTGCAGACCACTGATACCTATGGACCATCCTAACCAAGCAATTAATAGAAACAATGTTCATACCAAGCTCTTTACAGGCTATTTTTCAGACTAATTAGTTTTTTTTTAAATAAGGGACAAGAATAAATGCAGCCTGGCATCATGAACTTTATTTTTTCTGGAGTCCTTCTGTAAATTAACAGGTTGGGATCGCCTACCTAATCCATATTTGTAGTTCATCATTGTGAGGATTAATGAGGATGATTGTTTCCATCTTTCTAGTTTCTCATTTTTTTTCCTGTTTGATCTCATTTATCTTTTCAACCCGAGTTACACTTTATTCTCTTTGAAAATGTCTGGTACTATTGTGTGGTCTGTGGCAGATCATACTAACCTTCCAGATTGCTTTCAAACTGGATTTCTAATTTGGTGCTAGATTGTTTGCAGAAAGTAGCATGCACTATAGCATCTGCCTCTAAAAACCCTTTAGAAGCATAAACATATTTGATGAATACCAAATCTAAACTGTTACATTCAATTTCTCATGTTTCATAGTATTTCTAGGAATAAAGAACAGGAATAAAGAGGAAAAAAATACTGCCTAGCTAGGCTGTTTTTAAATGAGAAGGAATGAAAGAGTCTAATTCTGCTGGACTTTGATATACAGAGAGATTGGAAAAGTTTCTTTGAGCCTGTCAGTCAGCCTGTGTGTGACTCCTTTTGTACCTAAATTCAGCCTGTAGATGGTAAGCATACTAGTAAACGTTCACATCCTTTTTGCTCCTCTTCTTATGCAATTCAGCAAGTATGTCTTATTCCATTCATTGACTCATTTGTTTAACAAATATTTGTATAGTGCCTAATGGGAACTGCCTGTTATAGACTGGTATACACACAAAAATAAAATGCAGTTACTGTTTTCAAGCAATTGTAGGCTAAAGAAAAAAATATGATTGTGTGTACAATTCAATTTAAAACAGATATATGGAGCTGTGTTAAGTCCTACGGTAAAGCCACAAATAGATAACATAGCTACCATTTATCAAGCACATATTTGCCAATTGCTTATAGTGACCACATCCTGTCATTTGATCTTCACGAGGTCCTTGCAAAGTAGGTACTAGATTATCAGTCACGTTAGACTTCCTTTGCTTTGTCTTCAGTACCTTCCCACTGTGAAGATTATGCTTAAACCCTTGGTCTGAAATACAGTAAAAAGGGCGGGTTAGAAAAAGGAAAGGCCATGAAAGCAGGATAGCTGTGTTACAGGATTTCTTTGCTTCTTGTAAGGTGGGTTGGATAATTCCAAACCTGTCTGCCCTGGGAAGCCTAGGTAGAGGGGATGTATTTTTGGTGCCAAGTCTGGGGCTTATTACCATTCCTTCTCCTATTTCCCTGGCTAATTAATCTCTTGCAGTTAAAAGCATTGCTTCTGGGCAAGAGTGAAGCCACAATGTTATGATGTTATTTTTCCTTTAACAAGAAAATGTCTCAGGATTTCTACTGCACAAAGCTCAGGTGAGGGTTAGATGTATAGTGTTACTTTCTTTTTCTTCAGCTCAGGTTTAAAGTTCTCCTAGTTGCTGTCTTCTTGATCACTTTCGATCTACTCTCTTTAGTTTGCCCTTTACCCAAGAGATTGAATACTTACTTGGGTACCTTAAGCCATTTGGTGCCCACCTACCCTCTCTCTGGAGTTAGGTGAGAACACTGGCCATCTATTTGAGTGACAGCACAATCTAGGAATCTCTCTCTCCACACCTTGGCCCCCCCACCCATCTTTTTACCTTTCCTGTAAAAGCAGTATTTCCTCCCCAGTCCTAGGATCCTCCCTGTATCCACTGTCTCAATTGGTCTCATTAGGAGGCTGTAGTCAGCTCCTGTTTTTGATGAGGCTTTATTGAAGATGGACTCTCACATATTTGGGGCTTTCAGCTGGAATGGCTGGAAGGCCAGGACACCTAAGCCTTCTCAATACCTGGTCTTTTTTTCCCAAGCTTCTTCACAGCATGGTAGTCCCAGGGTTCCTAGGGGTGAGACTGGAAGCTGACAGATGTCCTGAAGCTGAGCTGGAAAGTTCTGCTTGATCTCTACTGCATTCTGTTGGTTAAAACAAGTCACAGGGTCAGCCCCAACTTAAAAGGTTGGGAAACAGATTCCACTGTTTGATGGCAGGAGCTGTGAATAGTTCATGGATATATCTAATCTGCCACACTCCCTTATGTACCATTCTCTGCAGTTTAAAGTGATGACACTACCCTCACAATGTCCTGAATGTCTGATTCACCTGGAATCCCTTAGAACTTTGTTTTTCTATTTTTACTTCAGTTCTGGGTCCTAAGAATCCAGGTTTCACAAATACAGATGGCCTGGCCTGGTGGGACCATAGTCCCAGCTATGTGAGCCTGAGGCAGAAGGATTGCCTGAGCCAGGGAGGTCAAGGTTGAGGGAGCTAGGATTGTACCACTGCACTGCAGCTTGGGTAGCTGAGCCAGACCCTGTCCCTTGAAGGAAATAAAAAGATAACAATAATGACGTTTTTAGCGTAAGTATGGCCCATGCAATATTTGAAATATTAGTACACTAAAAATGAAAACAGGAGAACTCCTCATCTGAGCCACCCCAGGGACATGAATGATGAGGCCTGGGACGATATCATCCAGACACAGTGGCTTTTCGCTTCCTCTACTTCCTCTCTTTCCCCTGCATCCAAAAATAGGGTCCTTAAAAGTACCGTTAATCCATACTCATAGGGCTTGGTGTTTGTAACCCCAAATATAGATCATTACACACATACTTCACCTGGCATGAATTCATCTGGTTCTCTCTGAGAGCCTTGAGCAAAACCTGACGTTCCAACACAAATCAGTAGTTTCTCACCAACCTGCAGTGACTCTGGCAAAGACCGAGTCACACAGTACCACTCTGCCCGAATGGAAGGACACAAAGGAATTCAATCTTTTTTAGAGGGAGGGGGATGCTTATTTTTCTAATGCTTTGGTTAGATGTTATAAATTAATTGGCTTAATATTTATGCTCACGAGAAGAAACACAATGGTCACAGTAGTCATCCTAACTTCACTTCTAAGCAAACAATTCCTGAGGTCTCAGAAGGCATTGTATATACTTCCTGCCTCACCAGGCTCTCTAATCACACAGGGAGAAAGACTGTGGAGATGGGAGAGCACAATCTATCTCTTTTGTTTCCAAATGAAATGTTATTACGATGTTCAGTCCAAGCATCACTGCATTTTTGATAGACGGCAATTTTTTAACACTTTACTACTGTAGATGAATGATGGAGACTCAAATGCAATTGATTCTAATTGAAATTAGTTTTTATCTGCCTTCGTAGACATTGTCAATTTCATTCTGACATCTATCTTATATTTTTTATTTATTCAGAAATATGGGTGTAAAATCATTTGATATAGCCTAATTAACTTCATTCCTCAAGAGCTAAACACTTCGGCTCAACTGTCTTGTGATTGTTTCTTAGTATCTTTAGTTGCTGATTCAGTTTATATTAACCATTGCATTTTATGGAAAACCCTCATAACAAAACCATTCCTCTCTTTTAAATGATGGAAACTCCTATAATTTTGAGGGTTCTTGAAGTCAGAGACAAGTACACAGAAAACATGACCCTTTCTCTACACTGTCATCACCTTCTTAAGTTATCTCTGTTGATGGAAATAGTATCTCCTAACTTAGCAATGATGATAACTCTGGAATACCCTGACCAGACCAAAAAAAAAAAAAGAAGAAAGAAAAAAGACTTTCCAAGAGGTCTCAGTAAATCTGGGATTTAGGGATGTATGTCAGATTATGGCATTGTATTTTAAATTAGCATCAGATTTGCAGTGGGTAAGTCTCATCAGTTTGAATTCATGTAAATGAAAAAAAAAATAGTAAAACTTTTACACTATGTCAAAGATCAAGAAAGACATTTCTCCTGGTTACTGAATATTGCAAATCTCTCAAAGCCTTTGTTTATTTATTTACTTATTTTTTACGATTTGGTTTCTGTCTGTCCCGTGGTTTCATACAACATAAATATGAAAAGGTGTTCAGACTTGACTGTAAGGATGCCTTTAGTAATTGCAGTTCTGCTGGATCCACGGGCTCTTCTCCAGGTGCACAACTGATGTTTGCGGCTCCTGAGTTGATACTTCATTTGCTTCCCACAACCTGACTCCTGAGCCCCTCTCCCCTCTGCTCTGCCCTCTTCTTCATTGGCTCTGGTCAGATGTGTGGGCCATCATCAAGAGGAGACCTGAGCAAGAGTCCTGAGATTAGTTATTCTCCCAGACACAAGCAGCAATCAATTTCTCTTCTATGGGCTCTTTTAAAGCAGGTTGGGGGCTGTGCAACAGGAGATGTGTGGTGTGTTCTAAAAGCACCATGGGAGGCTTGAATTTTTTTTCAGCTTGCATCTTCTTCCTTTGGATGTCTTCTCTTATGTATACAGCATGCTGCTTTCCTTTATGAAAAACTGGAATTTGGGCATTTAGAGAGTTGAAAAGAGACTGAGGGAGGAAGAGTTAACAATTCCACAGAGACTGGGAGAGAAACTAAGGATGCAGGGATTCCAGCTGAGATTCCTCTCAGTGGTTCCCGCTTTTCAGCTCCTTTCAACCATATTTTCTGCTCACTCCCTCCCCCCTCATTTGCCCCTCCAAGGGACTTTTGTATTGTTTCTTTCCTTTGCCACCCTGCGCACTCTGCTCTTTTGTTTTTATTCTCCCCACGCCTACCCCATTGCCCCCTACTGGTTTTCCTGATAGAAATCTCACTCATGCATTTCCTTTTTGATTTCAATGGGTTATTTTGTCTTCCCTCTTTTTCTGTCTTCAGTCTTTCTTTTCTCTTTTTTTAACCCCCCTTTTTCTGCCTCTGGTCCAGAGAGAACCGACCACCATCCTGCTGGGACAGGATGACAGTGCTGTTAGCATTCCCAGTGCCAGCTCTCCCCACATCTGTGCAGCTTTTGTCCTGTGGCAGGGGAGGATTTGGAATGGTCTGCTGGCAGCGTCAGGGAGACTAATGGGAAATGAGGGCCCAGAGAGAGGCCATGGGAAGTGGAAGGAATAGCAAAGGGGATTTGGAGGCATTGGTGTGGGAAGCAAATTAAAGAATGCATGTGACAAAAGGCACATCATATATACTACAAATAAAATATTGATGACAAAGTCACATCAGCAGGAGCTGGGGTATCCAACAGAAGAGCCTATGGAATGAGTACTGGGCAGCAACATTGTAATTTGGAAGGCCTGGCTACTTAACACGATGTTCACTTTCTTGTTTTGAAAGATTTGTGAAGTTTTGCTTCCTTTTGCATTCCCTGGGCTTCTCCTGAATACTGATGTGTATGTCCACTTAACAGAATTTTCTTTCCCTTAATTTTCAGACCATTTCTCATATACACAGTCTTTTGAATCCATGTTTCAATTATGAATCTTTCTCTTAAAGTAATATTGGCTGGGATCCAAAATGCTTTTAGAATGTCTTTTATTCATTCATTCATTAAAACATTTTAATTCTGTCCCAGGCACTTTTAAGGAAAAAAAAAAAAGTATCTGTAACAATCACCACTAACCTCTATTGTTCTCAGTGTTTTAAATGCATTCTCATATTTAATTTTTGCAACCCTATACAGTAAACTCTCACCTCTATTTGGTGGAGAAAATGGAAGCATGGTGGAGTTAGGTGACTTGCCAAAACTCATGCATATGTGAGAGATGGTCTGGTCCTTCATATTCCTGATACCAGCAAGGGAAATGAAACATGGATAGATAACCACAGTACAGGGTGGGGCCTTATGAGTGTCATAAGCAGAGTTCAAGTGTCAGCTGGTCTAGGTTTCTGGAAGAGCAGTGGCCATTTTCATCTGAAATTTTCATGGAGAAATCTGCACCCATATCTCCTCAACAGGGATTTTACAGTATTTTTTCTGATGCAGGTCAGCCAATGGATGAAGAGTGGACATTTTAGTAAATGCTGAAAGAGACGGAGACCTAAGATTTCCTTGTCTACTGAGGAAACAATAGTGAATTCTCTGTTGACAGTTTGATGGTCTCCCTTGAAATTCCTTAGGGGAGAGGCTTAGTGTTGGCATCAGAACGTATGTGTATATAAAACAAGCCCCAAACCCAAATGTTACCCTTTCACATACATTGAAGGAATTCAGTTGTCTTTTTTTATTTTACTTTTTTTTGAGACAGGATCTCACTCTGTCACCCAGGCTGGAGTGCAGTGGTGTAGTCATGGCTCACGGTAACTCTGATCTCCTGGGCTCAAGGAATCTTCCCTCCTTATCCTCCCGAGTAGCTGGGACTACAGGCATGTATTGCCACTCCCAGCTAATTTTTTAAAAAGTTTTTGTAGAGTTAGGGTCTCACTATGTTACGCTGGCTGGTCTTGAACTCCTGGGCTCAAACAGTCCTCTCACCTAGCTCTCCCAAAATTCCGGGATTACAGGCATGACCCACCGTGCCTGACCAGTCTTTATTTTTTTCTCTCTTGTTTTTCTCCTTTTATCTCCTTTCCTTTATCAGTGAGACTCACATTAACTTTCCAAAAATCACAGGTGTTATTGTTTATACACTAGAAGCCACAGGGTGCAGTTAAAGTCCACATTGTAGAGTTAAAGCACGGCTCCCTAGTTGGGAGTGCAAGTTCAAATAAGGAGAAGAACGGCCTTGTCTTAGGCCTCTCCTGGCATCCACTCTCTGTAGCTCCTTCCTTGCTAGCATTATGCAGTCAGTTTAAAGCACGCTAAAAAATGATTAGAAAATGTACCTGTGCTGTTAAAAATAGCTGCCCATTCCCAGCTGTAGTCAGCTGGCTGCCGCTTTTGCCTCTTCTTGGCCAGTGTTCAAAATGTTCTGCTGTTTTGTGATTATCTATGTTGATGGGAGAATAAGGAAAGTTGAAGTTAATTAAATTGATTATTTCAGAGCCATTCCCCAAGCCCTTTAATTGGCATTTTTTTAGATATTAATTAAGAGCAAAAGTTTCTTGCCTTAGTATTAGTGCCTCTGCCTCTCACCTCTGTCAGCTGCAGCGGATGAAAGGGTGCAGAGGGAGGGAGAGTGATGGGTAGCCGCAGGCATGCCTGACTCACAGACTGGATAATCAGCTCTGGAATAATTCTGGGTTGGCTGCATATGTAGTGATTCTGGTCAGAAATTGTGAAGAATAGCTCTCTTCCTTGTCCCCATCTTCCAATTGTGAATTATTGCTATGCTAGCCCAATTAAAATGCTTCAGGATCCCCTCACGTGCGTAGAGACTCAGACCCTGGAGGACTGTGGACCCACCATGGCACTTTTCTGAGAGCACTGAATGACAGTGCTGAATGGAGGGGAAAGTAAACAAGGCCTCTGTTGCCTAAATAGTTGTGCAATTCGCAGTACCAATGGGAACAGAGCTACTAATGAGTCCAGGCTACTCATGTTCATGGAATTCCTTTCAAAATGAGTGGCTTAGAATCGTCCCTGAAGGTGACAGGCACTCTTTAAGAGGACCATTGGGTGCTTAAGCCTCTTGTTGACATTGTGAAGAGTGCCCTGTTGGCAGCTAAATAGGCCTGAGGTGCTTAGTTCTCAGGACATAGAATTTGAGTCAACGAGTGGTTTCACATTAAGTGGGAGTAATGGAACCCTTTCACATCACCTTCCTTCACTGATAGTCCCATATCTTGACAAAGTGCGACCTGCTGTTTCAGGACAGAGAGGACAGAGAATAGGACACTTTATGCTAGCTAAAGCTGAAGCCGTACCTGTGGTGTGCCGGGCACTGTTTTAAGCACACTATGTGTATTGACTCTTTTTTTTTTTTTTTTTTTTTTGAGGCAAAGTCTTGCTCTGTCGCCCAGGCTGGAGTGCAGTGGCACAATCTCGGCTCACTGCAACCTTAACCTTCTGGGTTCAAGCGATTCTCCTGCTTCAGCCTCCTGAGAAGCTGGGCTTATAGGTGTGTGCCACCATGCCTGGCTAATTTTTGAATTTTTAGTAGAGATGGGGTTTCACCATGTTGGTCAGGCTGGTCTCAAACTCCTGACCTCAAATGATCCACCCACCTTGGCCTCCCAAAATGCTGGAATTACAGGCATGAGCCACTGTGCCCGGCCCTCTTGAACTCTTACAACAACTCTGTGAGATAAATACTATTATTAATTTGACTTTATATGTGTGATAACTAAGGGACTGAGAGATTAATTAGACTTGCCAAAGACCTAGTCTGTAGTAGAACAGGGACTTTTAACCAAGAAGGGACAACTCCAGAAACCTCACTCCTAATCACTGCCCTTTGCTACTTTGCCTTTTGGGTATGTGGGAGGATGAAGATCATTATTTATTTTGTCTTAGAATCACAGCACCAAGGAACAAAGAGGAATGAGTTATTTTTTTGTCGTTTCCTTAATAAGGGGTAGGTGATAGTAGGATACAAAAAATAATTAAGGTGTTCTTATATTCAACAGATACAGAATAATTTATTTATGGAAGGCATGAATTCCAAAAGTGAATACATAGTATGAGGGTAGAACCAAAGAAGTGCTTTAGGAGTTGAGAGAAAGAATAGATTCCGCCTGTCAAAGGTCATCTTTTCGGAGGACCTTGTCACAGACTAGCTTTTAAAGAACATGTCAGATTTAGGTATGAGGCTATTATGGATAGGGAGAGCTGGGAAAGCCTGAGAAGTTCATGGTTGGGTGTGTAGTTACAACTTTAGCTTTTTTGAAAAATACATAAATAAATAAAATGGAACCTTGGGAACAAATTGAGGAAATATAGTTTCAGATGAAGACTATGAGCTCCAGTGTTTAAATACGTGGGAGTAAGCAGTAGATATGCTATACTGAAAACCTAGAAATCTAGATGATACGAGACCTTCTTATCTTTCTTGGTGACTACTTCTGCATGCTAATAATGTTCAGGCAGATACTGGTTAGGAAGTGTATTTGTCAAACAGGACAAACAGAAGAGACAAAATAAGAGAGGCTTTGCAAGAGAAGATTCGCCTGGTCCCAGTGAATAGCAGGTGTGAACGAGAGGAAGTTAAGATGATTTGGATAACAAGGAGAATTGGGAAATCCCATAACATCTGTGTTATATTCTCCCTGACCAAAGACTTTCAGGGTGAGAGTCATCACCTCTTCTTCCCCTCCTTACTATGCACAGTAAGTTCATTGTTAAAAATAGTGATATCCACTGATAAAGAGAGCAAATCCCCAGGATCATCGATAGTCTTTCTAAAGACTAAAATACTCAATATCTAGAACTGTGATGGCCCTTACAAGCATATTTATTCATCCATTCAACCAAATATTTACGCATCTCCTTAGCTCCAGGCTCTATAGTAGGCACCAAGGAATGACACAATGCCAGACAAAGCATGGGCCAAAACTTTAAGGGGTTCTCTAGAGTCTGGTTATGGGGAGAGAGAAATCAGGTGATTTAAAAATACTTTGATAAATGTCATGATCAGTAACATGATCATATATCTCCCCTTGTCTGGGGTGGTCCCAACTAGGATGATAAATCTCATTACTCATTCAACTGTAGGAAATAGGGTCAGTACATAAAGTGAGGGATTATATAGGCTGGTGTTTAATAAACTGTTTGAAGTGGGATCATAAAGGCCTTTATGGTGGGGGGGAGTCTCAGCTGATATCTACAGGCTGAAGAGGGCAAGAGATGGCAAAGAGAGAAGCAGTGGTACAAAGCTAGAAAGATGGACACTCCAGTGTTTGTAGACTGAATGGATTGATTTGTGAACACCTAAAACATTGTGAAGGGGGCAAATCACATAATATTTCCATTCCTAAGGATGCATCTATAGTCACTGGATGTGTGTGCATAATATTTCTTTCTGATCTGAAAGGGAAATTTTTTTAAAAAGTGGAATTGTACTCTAGATGATACATATAGTGTCTTACAGTCTTAATATTATGCTTCATAAAACACCATCCCAGGAAACTTGTTAGAGAATGAGAAATAGCCCTGGTTCTTCAAGTCCACCTGATTTGCCCCTTTCTTCCTAGTTAGCCACTTGATTACTTTTCAGTTATCATATTCCAGTTTTATTTATTAAACTTGATTGAAAGATTCTTGAAGCAGAGACCATACCGTTGTTTTCTATCTACCATTCTATATATATTGGCTCATGGAGATTGGGAGTTTGGTGATAAGGAGGTAGAGGGATCCTTTTATTTTTCCTTTTGTCTTATGATTTCTATCCCCAAATATAGCTTTGCAAGGCATTTTAATTCTGTGGCTGTAGATTTTCTGGTAATGTTTAGTTTTTGAGCTTATTATTTATGGCCATCTTGCTTTCTTCTTATTTAGGTCCTTCTGAGTTATTGGATATGGCAGACAGCGAAACGTGAGTGTCGCCTTTTATTATATAGTCTAGGTAATTTTCTTCAGAACATATCCGGGAGAAGAATTTAATCTATAGAGCATAGCATAGGTAATTTTAGTTTAAGTAATTCAAAGTCCACTTTCAACTCTGTTCATAACTGTGCAGGGCTAATCGCCTACATGAAAAATTACACAATACAAATTGATGACATGGTCATAATGCTTGCCCCGTAGTCAATGGTAATCATCATTTAGAACATGCTCCAAGCATTATACTCCTATACTGGTACATCTTGGAACGCTGAGAAGCCTAAATAATTACACTTACCTTTTAATGTACCTATCACATTTATTCTTTCTCAACTTGGGTTTCTGAGCAAATGGGGCCCTACTGCCCTAAGGCATGCTTCACATGTAATGACATAACTCCTCTCTGTTAGTGTAGAGCAAGACAAGTTATGAACCACCACTGAAGAACTAAGAACGTAGTCACTCCATTTTCTGTCTTCTGTGATTCAGAGAAGGGGTCCTGATTGGCAAAGTCATCCACTCTGAGATGGTGCCTAAACTGATAATAATGTTTGTTTTCAACCTTATTTTTAAAGCAGCAAAATAGCTACTACTTCCCAAAGAGGAACAAAGATAGGCTGTACAACTAATCCTGAAAGCCATATTTAAAAAGGTATAAAATGAGTTGGTGGGGAGAGGAATGAGGTGGTGAGAAGGTAAGCACACAGGGAAGAGGAGAAGTAGAAACGAATAGAATGGAGAATGAATGAGAAGCAGTAGAACTATGAGTTAGTACACATGGAAGAAACTGTCTGTTGCTCCATAGAGCTGCTCCACAGACCAGCACATCTGATTGGCAAAATTATAAGTGGTGCCATCACTTACCCCATTATGCCTTCAGGGCTTTTCCTGAAACACTTTGGCATTAAGCATCTTGGTGACTTTGGGCTCAGTACAGGAATATCCTCCTCCCTACACAGCCTGTCAGCAATGGGGAAATAGCCAGTTTCCCTTGCCCCTTCCCACACTGAGTGGCTGGCCTCAGGCCTGCTGCCTCCTGGGGAGAGCTCTGGCTCTCAAACTCTCCCAGAGTCTCACTGTGCCTCTCAGATATCCTCTGTGGCTGCCCCCTCCTTCCACCTGCCACTCACACAGAATCTAAAGTGGATAGAGCAGAGTGGGTGTTGGCCTGGCTCTTTGAACTTGGGTTCTCAGGAGATATTTCTCTGCAGGCTGAGTGGCTATCAACCAAGGGCTGCATGCTGTGCCTGAAGGGCCAGAGGCACTCCACATTGCTCCCTGTTCCTTCACCCAGTGCCCTTCTTACTGTGCTCAGATGGATGCACAGAGAGAATGATATCCAGTGTTCAGCTATATCTACACAATTGGTCTGCTTAATACTGCATTGACTGTAACCTAAATCAAACAGTAGTAGTTTTCTTAAAAGAATTACTAAGCCTAGTTAACCAACACTGTTTCGAAAGGGGACTGGAGTCAGATATAATGATCAGGTGATGACTCGCTCAAGGGCTTTTTAGAAATCCCCTTCCCTAGTCCCCAGAATGTACCCTACAGGCAAGGTCTCAGCAGCCTATAGGGGAGGAGGCTGAGGAGCACCCAACATCAGCTCCCCTCACCCCACTCCCAGCTGCCTCCAGCCCCTTTATGGGTGGCTTCCCATTTCGTCTTTGATTTAGGGGTGAGACTGCACTGCACAAGGCTGCCTGCCAGCGGAACCGGGCTGTGTGCCAGCTTCTGGTGGATGCAGGAGCGTCTCTGAGAAAGACGGACTCCAAGGTAACTCGATGAGTGAGTGCAAACATCCTCCCACGGGGCGAGATCGAAGACACTGTTGCCTTTGCTTGTGACCATAGCACGGACATCCTTTCTGTGCTTATGGAAGTGCCTGGGGATTTGGAAAAAGGAGGAAAAAATAGAGTGCTTCATTTAGAGAAACTGTGATTTAAATGTATAAGCACAAAGGGAGGGCATGCGCTTGCCTATGGGGCTTTATAAACCTCTGAACATGTTGGCCTTGGGACTTTGGGGTTGTCCTGCTGAACGCTAGCAGCCAAGTCATGGGAGTGAAGGTCCGAAGCCCAAGGAGAGGGGTCAGGACCATGTTCAAAGACTTTGGCCTGACTACTGAGAAGCCCGTTTGGGATTTTCCTTCAGTACTTACTCCAATGTGGTTTAAATTCTATGATTTATATGGCCCCTTATATGGATGCCAAAGGGATTACTTCCCAGCTCCCATAATGGTGGGATTTGGCTTTGAGATGGTTACAGTCTTAAATCTGGTGTGCTTATATAGTTCTTCATTTAAAAAAATTTCTTTCCGTTAGTTTTCTAATATTATTCTCTAAAAGTTAACCTCAGAAATTAGATAGCATGGGAATGACTGTCATTTATAGGTATAGGAGCTAAAAACCTAGAGAAAGTTACACATACCCTTGGATCAGTAGCTGAGCCTTAAATTAAATTGAGCTCATTTGCTGTCCAACCCAGTGTTGTATCGGCAGGTTGGTGGTTCTCATTTGGTGCCAGAACACCACAGCCATGTAACAAAATCGGTTTGTTTATAGAATCTGTTTTGTTGAGGTACAGTGATACCTGGGGCCCTCTGGCTTGAAATGTGGTTGGTTTCTTCACAGCAAAAGTTATGTAAATCTGGACGTAAGGTATGCAACTATATTAATAGCAGGGTGGTGAGGCCAGAAATGGGTAGTGTGACATGTGTGCCAACCTTGATAGCATCAGCAGTTGGAGGCGAGGCCTCAGGGGAAACTGTCTAGAACTGAAAACAGGCTGCACCGTGAGTTGTTTCAATGTATAGAGAACACCCAAGAGAAAGGCTTGAAAGATCGAGGAAAGGAAGAGTTGTAACTTAGTAGAGTTGACCCAGGGCTCAGCCTATAAGAAAGAAGAGAGACAGAGAGGAGTTAGTTTACATAGAAGATCAACCCCATACAGCAGGAGTGTCCAATCTTTTGGCTTCCCTGGGCCTCATTGGAAGAAGAATTGTCTTGGGCCGCACATAGAATACATTAACACTAACAATAGCTGATGAGTTGAGAAAACAAAAATCGCAAAAAAAAAAAAAGAAAATCTTATGATTTGAAGTTTACAAATTTATGTTGAGCCTCATTCAAAGCCACCTGGGCTGCATGTGGCTTGCAGGCTGAGGGTGGGACGTGCTTGCCATAGAGGATTCTGATAAGCTCTGAGAGTTTTGCAACACTCTCGGTAGATTCCAAAAAAATGTGAACCACTTAACTATAGACAGTTGCAGAGAAGAATCTTAAAATATAGATGAGCCCTTCATTAAGCAGGTACCGAGTAGCTCAGGTTTTGGGCCAATGATTGTAACCATGACACATAGCTCAATGACTTAGAAGCCTAATTAATGGCTTAAGCACCATTAGATTTATTTAAGTGATGAGAATCTGCCTATGTGCAAGTTTTTCCCTGGAGCCTCCTCAATCTGCAGTCTACTTTATGAAATAACTGCATCCCAAGTGGGCCTCTTTCTTTTCTGAGCCAGTTGTATTGTATAGAACTCTCTACTTCCCTGGAAACCCACCAGCACCCTTGCTTTCTGGCTGCCTAGGCATCTCAAACACACTTGAGATGTGTCCTGGTTTATAGTGGTCTTTTACCTGTCTGGCTAGCTAATTTGGTACATTATTTCAAATGGCAGATATTAGGTTGGTGCAAAAGTAATTGCAGTTTCTGCCATTAAAAATAATACTTTTTTCAGTGTGATGTTCTTCTCAGATGTTATTTGTACTCAGATGTTTTGATGTTTAACCTGATTGAGAAACACACACCATGCAGTCAGGATTAATGGGGCCAGGTAGGGTTGGCCTTGTTGGGACCACTCAGGCAACAGCAGGGCAACTGCCTCTATCATATAAAGGCTGGTCCTACACTTAACTCAGATAATTTTAAAGAAAGAGAGAAGCCATGAAAAAGAGAGACAAATCAAACAGGAATCAGGAGACCTGGCTCTTGACGTCCACTTTTTTTATCTTTCCAAGTTTTGGAATCAGATAAAGGACTCAGTGTTCATGGAAACTTTTTTCTATTTTGTGTTGTGTATGTGTCTGCTTTTTTTTTTTTTTAAGTGCAAGTAACTTATTTTTAAAATTATAAACCCCTCACATAGAAAACTAGTAATGTAGGAAGATGTGTCCCCAAAAGCAAAAAGTTGCTGGCAACCTCACAACCTAGACCTAAATATCATTAAACTCTTAATGATCCCTCTTCACATGTAGATATGCCTGTTTTTCTCTCTCGCTGTTTTTTTTTAACTAGATGAAGTCATACATACATGATATCATATAACTTTTCACTCAACGTTATTATTCTAGAGATCTTACCATATTAAATAATATAACTATACTTCATTACTTTTTATGGATTTTTAAAATTCTGTCATTCTGTAACTGGATGCTAGTTTAAAGTTGAATGTGATAATTACAACCGAATCTTCTCCTGGAATTTTTTGGAGAGAAGCAGCATCCTGAGATGCAGCATATGAGATGCTGAGATCTCCTACTAGAGATCACTTCCTTAGAGATCAACTCAAAGACCCACTTCAGCCATCTCTCTGAATATTTGGAAGCTGGAAATTCTAACCTCATTATTACTGAAGTAAAGACACAATTGTCTACTAAGACTGCAACAAGTTGAATCAAAATTATTATAGGAACTTCAAGCTGGTGGTTAACTGCTAAATCACAAATGAATAAAATTTTAGAAAGATTCTAGAGCCATTGGTACTTCGCTTTTATCCTCTCCCCAGTAGGCTATGTAGAGCATGTTGGATTGAGGTCACCAGTGTCTGTTGGGGTAGCTGAGATGAAAGCTGAGAAGTTTGTGATATTTATCCAACTCACGTGCATATGTACATGGAGCTATTTCTTTGGCACAATGATCATGCCTATACGCTTCCTTTAGAACTTAGTATAACTTTTTAAATAGTTAAAAGTAAATATTGAACAAAAGTTAGAAATTTTGAGGAGGACTAAGTAATACCTACAGGCATTCGAAAGAATGGACACCTTTCTCCCTTTACTGCTGACTTCTTATTCAATGGCCTCATTGAAAAAAATATCCATATATATGCAAATGTGTGTATACGTGTATATACAGATGTACAAAAGGTATTATAGTAGCCTGTAAGAAATTATGTGATCATTTAAGATGTTGATGTCAAGAACGTAATGACAAAAATTTATGATACATTACTAAGAAAGGTTGTAAAACAGTAAGTAAATGAATTGTGGTTTTGTTTTTATAAAAAATATGTATAGAGACATATAAAAGACAAAACCTAGTTATCAATGGAAGGTTAATAATGGTTATCTTTGTTTGGTGGAATGATAGAGATATTCCTTTTCTTCTTTGTGCTTTTCAACTTTCCCAAGATTTTTTTAATCAATATCTACCACTTTCATGTTGAGAAAGTAGCTTAGTTTTTAAAGACATGAAATGCTATATATTGTGGAGAACTTAACTGAGGTCTTTGAAACCCACAAAGAAAACCTTTCAATTTTTTCTGACTATCGCTTTAATTTCTGAATGTTCATTTCCCAAGTTTAGAATAATGGCAGGAGTCCTAAACTAGAAATCTAAATGTCTGCCTCCCTGTTTCTTAAATTCAATAATTTCTGTCTCCTCATCTTCCAGCAAGGCTCTGGGTTCTAAAATTCACTTTACCCCACTGTTCCCTCCTGTATACTGTTCAACTCTGTGAACTTCTGTTTCTCCAGTATAAACCCCACACGTCAAAAGTGATCAACTCTTTCCCTCTGATTTACCAATCAGTCACACATTTTAATTTAATGCTCATATAAGACAAGAGATTTGAAAGTGTCTTGTAAACTCTAAAACCCAAAATGTGAAAGAATCCTTACTAGCAAGTATCTTTGGGTAGCTCTGTTTCTGTGATTTCTGTGGGGCTTTTTTTTTTTTTTGGTTTTGTATTTCACAACCAGCGCTTGTATCTCTTTCCTTCTCACTATGTACGTATAGGGTAAGACACCTCAAGAGAGAGCACAGCAGGCTGGGGACCCAGACTTGGCTGCTTACCTAGAAAGCCGTCAGAACTATAAGATCATTGGCCATGAGGACCTGGAAACTGCTGTTTGACCCTGGAATTTGGGCAAAGAGAATGTGAGCAAGTGTATCACATCTGCCCTCCCTGCGATCGGGCAACTCCCCTGGAAGAAGCTGATGGAATTCATATATCTGTCTCTCTCCTGCAAGAATCTACCTGAGACCATGCCACTAGTTTTTAAGGGCTACCAGGATGTACAACAGAACATGATAGCCCATTGAGAAGGAGGCAGGATACCTGGAGATTTGTGGAATACAGTGCGAGTTCCACAAAATTTGATCCTTATTGCTTCCAGCAAGTAGCATGAACTTCTGTGTTCACCTGTATAATTTATTTTAAAGATTCAAAGGATGTTTGTATAAATGGCACTGCTCCCTCCTCCCCCTATGCATTGATTTTTTTTCCCTGTTCCATACAATTCTACTGTAACTACCCATCAACTTAAAAATATATTATCTCTTCTCTTTACATTCAATCTTGGAAGACCACAAGATTGTCTGAAGGCCTTCTAAAATCCTCTGAATGTCCTGCAGAAATACAACTGTAAAACCACCTCCATTTCCAAGACTAAATATGTCAAGACTATTTAGTGACTCTCTCTGCATGTCCTCCCCACCCACCCAACCCTCCGTTTCATTATATAGGAGCTGGGAAGTGCCACATGGATAATGTCAACTTGTGTGCTATATCTCTGAGGATTGGTGAGGTGGCATGGGAGATGTCTGTGCTTGGAGGTACCTCAGAGGGGTAACCCAGGGGTCAGCCAGGCTGCTGGGCTGTAGCCAATAGCCATGCAGGACTGGTTCAGCTTGGGCTGTCTGTACAGCTCCGTACTGCCTATGTGTAGCCATCTTTGCCTTTTGCTGCAATAGAAGATGAGCAAAGGATTAAACAGAGGCCCACAGCTAGTCTGCAGAACCATTCAATTCTAAGTGCTGTTTAAATTGCCCAGGAGAAAATCATGTGTGGGAACTGTGGTTCCGGAAAATGGAGCACTCTAACAATGCTTACTTCTAAGCTTTGTTGAATGATAATAGAAAGCAGCCTAATTGACTTGAAAACAAAAAAAGCAAAAGCAAAAGTAGCAACATATGTCAACATATGTCACTGAAATAGAGAAGAGCCATTGGAATGTTGCACAGAGGCTAACAGCTATAGACTGTTGGATACAGTGGTGAGAGGGACCCCATTTTAGGTTTTTCATTTAGGATTTTGGTTTTCATTACTCCAAGGAATCCTTGATTCAAGGACAAAAGCTCATTGTATGAGTTCCACTGCCAGATTTATGGGATGCCCAGATAATTCAGAAGGATACTTCAACTATTATTTGTCAGGTCCAAAGATTGTACTTGATAACCCCATTTTCTATGTATGGGGTACTCTAATATATTATTTTATCTACTTTATTTTCCCCTTTCAGAAAGTCCTTAGTGCAAACCACTGTGGGAATCTAGCTAGAAATGTCTTTCAGATAGTTAGAGCTACAACATCTAAACCTGCCACAGATCGAATGGTACTTACAGGTACTTCTATTAGGGACTCTGTGATACCTAAAATATCAGAAGAAAATGTCTGTCTAACTTTCTCTCCAAATATCTACTTGACTTTGGGGTAAGTCAAAAATAAAAGTGGGTGTCCAAGGGTTTTGCTTTTGGCGAAATCTGATGTCTCCTGAGCTTATTTCCATTTTGTCCTTGGACACAGCAAAGTGCTTCCCTACTGTTTCTGCAAGTGACCATGAATGATGATGTCTCTACATTTAATTTGAAGGTCTAATGGTGACATTTTGCTTATCTGAGTCTCATTTCAGTCACATATCATCATTTTGAAAGTACAGCTATGATGTATCATATTAAATAGGAACAGCCTTTCAGTGGATGAGGATTCTATTACCACAATCTCTCCATAGTCATTTCAAAATCAAATTGTTGGTGGGAAGATGGATTGGGTGGTGAGTGATCTATGTTCATTTATCAGCCTCAGAAATGGAACTATCTTTTGGATATTACAGGAGGGACTGCAGCAGATTGTTTCCAGAAGCTGGAAAAATATGCTCCAGGAGAATTTAATCACTGGACTTTTGCTGGGAGATTTTTAGTTGGTGGAACTGTCAAGGAAATGTGATGACAGAAATATGATCCTTAAGACAGACTGGAACCTGGCTTTGAATGGCATCTTCCATTCCCTGGATTGAGCCAAACATTTGGCTAAGCAGTCAGTTCCCTAGTTATTACTGCTGGGATGAAGAACTCTGTTTTCCTCAACTGCCGTCTCACATTTCTCCGTGAATGCTTCCAAATAGCCCAGAGAAAATTTAGGGTCTAGGTGGCAATGGGCCAATTTAAATAGTTCCAATTGAGGACATAAATCTGTGGCATGAAAAACGATGAGTTAGTACTATAAGATCTCTGATGCATCTGGAAATCATTTAAAAAAAGGGCATTAGAGTTCTATATTATTTGTGGAGACCAATATTTGACATATCTCTTTGAAAAAAGCAAGTACCACTAGGACTTGGAATTTCCAAACTAAAGTGAGCAGAGTAACCACATATGTTATGGATTTAACATTAAACTACCTCCTGTAGCATTTTTTAAAAATTGGCCCTGAGCTTTAGAAAGACCTAAGACCTTATGGTCTAGCTCTTATGAGTTTCCATCTCAACTTAAGTATATTGTCTCCCCTCTAATGGGGCATCAGGAAGTAGAAAAGCAAGTGGTCTAGTCCTGGTCTGAAGAGCTGCATAACTTTAACAGACATAAAAAGACGTACCCATAGAAATATCATTTCTACAAAGACTACTGAGACAGAGCTGCAAGAGACAGCTAGCTCAGCTGACTCCTCTGTGTTTGTTTCTTTGTGTTGGGATTCCATTTTTAGATGAGGTTGATAGAAGAATGGAAAATTAAGTGTTATTAAAAGACAACATTCTGTAACCTGAAAGGTAGTCATGTTTGCAAGTGATCTATGTTCATTAATATTGTTCATTTAACAAAATAGAACACAGTTAAACTGTGTTTATCATATTCATGGACTTTATAAAGAATAAGAGAGAAGATTAGTAAGCCAACAATGAAATAATTACCATGACTAGGAATTTTGCTTTGAGAGTTTGTTTCCTCTGTAGATGTGATAACCAAAAACCAATGCAATTTTTGAAAAAGGATTTAGCTGGCAAATGCACAGTGATGAAATTAGTAATAACTTGTGGAAAGTCACACGTACCTGTTGCTCCATATCCATTCAAAATGGCCACTTTGGCAGATTTGCCTGTGCTAGGAGCTACTCAGCATCACTTCATTTTCATTTGGAGCTAGTGAGAGTCCCTTTGCCAAATGAATTCCTAAAATTTATTTATTTACTAGAACCCTCATATTATTCATGGCTTAAAACATGACACAGCATCTTCATTTTATTACATGTCAATTTTATTAATATTTAGGGTTTTTGTTATTAAAATGGCAGATGATTTTTATAAAATGTTTTAATGCTGCAGATGAGTGTCACATCCAAAGCCAAGGCATCCTTTTGTTCTGGTGTTGTGTCCAACTTCCCAAAAATAAATACTGTTAACACTGATGAACGTTGCTGCTTGTACATGATGTCAGAAATACTCCATCTGTTCATACACAAGCATTTCTGTATATATGCATACACATTCACACAGATATATAGACATTTATTTATATACATATACATGTATGTATACCATATTCATGTATATTGCATAGGTTTAGAAAAGAGGAAACATTTTAAAAGCATGCTGATCATTTGTATATGTGTAGTAAACACCAACAGGCAAAGACAGATGAAACACAATTTCCATTTATTTTTTGTTTCCACCATTGCTAGGCTTAGATCTGTCATGGCATTACTACAATTGCATTTGCTATTTTCTATTGCCTGTGTCATAAAATTCATGACCTGGAGTTCCTGTAATTGTTTATGTTGCCTTCCATGAAGCATGAAACCTTCCATAGCATCAAGACGTATCTAAGCTACATGTGGATTTCAAGTAAAGGAGAGTGCTTTCCTCTGTGATGCTTACATAACTTTACAAGGCTGTTTGTAAAACTACCACTCAGTAGGTTGCCTAACAATATTTAATTAGGGCAGGCCACTGCCAGGAAGGTGTAGTAACTTTGGTGTAGTATGGGGTCTGAGCAGCTTGTCTTCCTTCCAGAAGTAGCTAATGAAGTCACTGAGAACAGTATGATATTTTATTCAGTTATGCTATTTAAAACTGGGACTTTATTAAAGCGGCTCATCCTAACCATCAAATAAAACTACTAATTGCTCTATTTAAATGAATTATGTTCATTTTAGGAAAAGAAGTAGAAGAGCATCTATTAGCTTTCTGATTAATCTTTAACACTTATTTAATATAAAATGGCTTCTGCCTGCCTCTTAATTGAACCAGCGTTGAATCTCTCAATTCTTCCCACTCTGAATCTCATACTTAGCTGATTAGAAGTCCTACAGTTCCTTCTCTGCCAGGTCTTTCAGAACAACTTGGACTCTACCCTTTTCTGTGTCCCTGTTATCCTTCATCTTTTGTCCCTCAAAATTTCAGGCCACAGCAACAGTCCTGCCCCTGGACTTTCTGCTTACTACTGTCAATAATTTTGTCACACAGCTGCAAAAATCTTTCCCAGATATTATGCTGAAAATAGATCAAAATGAAGTTACCCTCTGGGACAAATATACCTTTTATTCAAAGGACAGATAGATGTCCACTGACCTTGATCATCTTATAGAATTATGGTAAGCATGATTCTGAAAAGTAATCTATCAGGTTTAGCAAATGTCTGTCTTAGTCACATGAGAGTATGCAATGTGTAAGCCATGTGCCTCCTTGATGTCACCTGGAGGACTAGGTTATATATCTTACACTCCTGAGGCCATCTGTGGATTTCAGGCTGTCTCCTCACAGCTTAATGAGAAACTTGAAAATAAGAATCAAGAAAGCAGTCATGCCCTGGACAACCTGCTCTCCTGGGACACTGAGATTTACTGACTAGGTCCCAGAAATAAAGCAAAAAAATAATTCTTAGGCTGTTGTAGCATAGATTTTATAGTAGAAATGTGAAAATGGAATGGTGTCTTCATCATATAGACTCTAGTCTGTTTACATATGTATTCAGTTATGCATGCAATCATATGCCCACAAATCAATCATACATGCATTTCATCATTATTTGAAAAATATTTGTCACTCTGATGCAGGCACCATACTAAATATATATCAATTAATGCAATAGACAAAATTCTTGATTTCATGGCGCTGGCATCTAGCAAAAAAGACAAATTCAAATGTGATAAGTTCTGTGCAGGAGAAATGAAGGGTGTCCAGCATGGGCTGGAAATTCAACCAAGGCTATATTGTACCAGCTACTCATTAGCCAGCGGTGTTTAGTTCAATGAAAACATATATTAACTAGGAAAAGAATAATATTTTTATTTCCATTTTATTGGAGTCATGATAGTTTCTTAAAAATGTATCTGAAACTAAGATTTTAAAACAGGACTTAAAAACACTACCTAATATGAAGACTATGACTCATTTATTCTAGGTCTCAGGATAGAACTAGGAAAAAGCAGAGCTTTCGGTGGATTTTGACTAAACGTTAAGAAGGTGAAGTGTATATAATATGTAATAGTGGAGTGGGTATCACAGAGTTATAAACTTTCAGCCTCTGGTGGCATTTAAACAGAGGATACCTGACTACCTTGACGGGTGTTGTGATTAGGAATATGAGATTTGAGGGGGCTGAAATTAGATGCTGTGATTTTTCAAAAGAAATTTTTTAGTGGCTTTGTTGAATGGCAGGATTTTATTTTTAAAACTCATGAAAATCTTGATTTTTTGATTTTTAAAATGTTGCTTTATAACTGAGAATATTTAAAATATCCAGGGGGAATGGCCATTAGTTATCATTTAAAATTTTTTAAACTAAGCATGAATTTAAGAGCTAGAGAAAAGAAAACATACTAAAAGGTGTAATTTAAGTATTTAATTAAGTTTAACTTATTAAAAATACTCCTGGAAGCTCATAAATTGTGATCAATAATCTTAGTTATTGTCAAGTAAAATTCTATTAGAAATCTGTCTTACTGTCCATCCAATATAAAAAAGTGCTGTGGTTTGGTATTTTAAGAGTTAAGTGTAATCTAATATAACCACAGAAGAAAATTCCGCCTGTGAGATATTTGGGAGCCAAGTAAATGCACATGAAAGGCAATCATGGAAAACTCCTTGGCTTCTGCTACCAGGGTGGCAACCACGAAGGACGTCCAGCCCATGGAAATAAGAAAACAGTGATCTAAGTTTTCACCCGTCTTTCAAATTTCAGTATTTTGAGCCAAATGCCATCTGAAATGGGAGGCTTTGCTAGTGGGAAATACTGAAACTATCTTTTTCCTCAAACCTTTAGTGAAACACAATATAGTTTTCACTCTATGACAGCTTAAACAACTCAAATCTATACTGTTTAATAATAACAATTTCAAGAATTAAAAAGTTAGTGCTTTAGCATTATGTTTTTTGACATATTTGAGCTTCAATACAACCCCAACGAGGTGAATAATGCAGATAACACATTTTAGATGAATGAACTGAATCTCAGCAGAGTGAATTCAGCCTGTGTAGATTCATAGAGCAAATGATAGTGCTGCAGCCAAAACTGGGTCTTTAGAGATTACATATTAACATGTTTTCTAAGTAAGTCATTTTCCATCATTGCCTTCAAGGATGTTTTATATCACTTGTTCAGATTTCCATGATATAGAAGGTGCCTCCATAAAAAAATGTTTACCTAAGATTCTACAGAAAGAATGAGTTAGAAGTAAGGGAGAGTATGAAATCAAGAAGTCAGAGTTTGTGCTATCAGAGAGAGATTTGTCAGCTTGTACATAGTTCAAGGAAAGAAAAGTCAAATGTTTGCATACCAGAGTAGATTTCAAGAGATTAAATTAACAGTGAGGGTTAATGACTTCAAGTTTTTTGTGATTCTCCACATTATAAAACGTTAGTCCTATTTTTTTCCTTGGAAATCACTATTAGGATGATATAATTTCAAAACGCTATACCAAAAAGAATTAAAAATGGCCCCGACATTGAAGGCTCTATTGTTCTAAGTTTATGGATGGGTATGCAAGCTAAGTGTTATGATAATATATAGTCACATATATAGAGGCTTAACACACCTATGGGAAGTTCTGGCGTACTTGAGAAGAACAAACAGACTTGAAATATCCTTCAATTCAGAATCTCATACTTCACAAGGGACGTTTATGGGCAGATTGGTGAATATGTAGAAGGAGGATGTTTGATTTGGAAAAGAGACAAAATTGGATTAGGAATAAGAATATGTAGAGGAGATAGGTTAAGTAGGACTGTTAGATTCAAGTTCTACAGGGAAGATGACTTGTAGAATAAAATAAGGCAAGAAGAGAGCAGGAACACATGAAAAGGGGTTAGCTTTATTACTTGTAAGAATTTATTTTTTCCTAAACATTGCACCCAGAAAAATAGATTGGACTTTCTGAAAAATAGAGTGAAGGTGTTATCACTGTTTCTTCTAGTATTTAAGTGAAGATTGAACAACTAACTCAGAGATCACGTAAAAGCAAATCTTTAAGTGTGGGTGCTCTTGGACTAGAAAAGACCTGTGAGATTTTCTTGGTTTAAATTTCTGTAATTTTAGACCAGAACAGAACTCAATTAGAGCCTATTTTTTTCCCCAAGTTCCTGCCAAATAGATAGCAATGAAGGCATTTTTTTTTTAAAAAAAGCCTCCATTATTGCAAATATATCCCCAATCATTTAGAAGCAGGGATTTCATGACCCTAAAAAGTTGCCTTGCCTACACAAACACAGCTTGCTTTAGCAGAAACATTTTTTTTTTAGAAGATTTGAGAATTGGCAAAATTGCCAGCCAGTTTTCAAACCTCCTAAAAAAGATATGTTTATACTAAAGCAAAAAGGTCACAAATTCAGGAGTTAAAGTGAAAACAAAGGATTTAATGTTCTTTTCCCTACTTACTACCCATTTGTCATTTGGGGTATAGAGTCAGGACTGGAGAAGAGGGTGGGAAATTCTGTACCCTCTACTAATACAGAGGCATGGAAGCACTTTCCATAATTTTTGTCGTGAAACAAGACTTAACCCCATATCAGTAGGCTAATGTTTCTGTCATATTCTGCTTAGGTGGATTACAGTTTTAATTGCCTGTCACCTTTTAACCCTGTAATACAGCTTGATTTCCTAGATTTCAGGTTGACTGGGTGAGGAAGGAAGTCACTTGAGATAATTTTAAGAAATGAGCCCATATCCAGAGTCTTGTAGGAAAGACCTGCTTCTACTCCATCTTCTTTCTTGTCCTACTTCCTGTCTCTGGTTTTGGGAAATAAAAGAGGAGCAGAGTTATGAAGAAAGGAAAAGAGATTCTCAAAAGTAGTACAATAAGAAGACTCTGGTCTTAACACAAATTCTCATGGCAGCTCTCAAATAAATGACTTATAGTGTCAGCAAATACTGAAAATCAAACTCAGGAAAGAAAGAGTAAGCTTGTTCAAAGTGGCTTCAAGGGGTATTAGTGGTGAAAATTTCAGTTTATGCAGCGTAGAAAAATTAGATTATGTGTAGAACTTGGGGAAAATAGTGTCAACTAATATAACTGTTTAATGGAGGTTTCTAAAGGATGAGGTGGTTTTGGAAGAAGTTTGTCCAACCTCTTATAGTAGGTTACGCCTGTCCACAAACTTGTCCCTGATAAAGTTTGAGAAAAATAAGGAACTTTTAGGGAGTTTTTTCCCCCACAAATCTAAATATATTCACTTAAAAATTCAGAGACAGTAACCTTGTTATTTTGGGATTAAATATAAACTTTCTTCTTAAAAGTGATAGATATATGTTTAAAAATTGTCTTTACTCTTTACTTATAAACCATACACATACAGATGTGATAGTCCTGTCAGTTTACCCTATTTTTCATTTCAAATTTAGAGTTAATTCTCACAAATGTGTTGATGAGACTTATCACTTTTAAGATACCATCTAGCCTTGATATTTATTGTACCTTCTGTATGAAACCAAATGGTTCCTGATCTTCTGGGTTTATTCACAGCAAAGAATTTTTATTTGCCACTCTCCCCACTCATCATTGGTTGGATTGAGACTCTAATTGCATATAAGCATAATTTCCAATGCAAGAAGAACTTTGATGTTTCCCTGACTTACTGATTGCAGGTTGGGAAAGTTAGGATTCTTGCCATCCTGGGGAAGGAGATATAGAACTCTCATAGACAAAATATTCTAACATAACAGAATATTTTGCAAAACCCATCTTTGAAAAGTTAGGGGCCAAAATAGTCTCAGCAAAGGTCAGCTTGGCTGTTTTTTTAAAATTCCCAATGGTTAAGTGGGCAACCATGAATCTGAATATTATACAGACTACAGCTGTTTGAAAGTGAGGAAAACCATTCTTGTGAAAAATTAAGGAATGGAGGACAATCTTGGTTTTAAAAGAATGAATGTATTTGATTTAATTTGATTTCTGAGTGGAGAAAAGTTCTCCAGCATCCAGGGTACCCTTGGCTGTGGGTATTCCACTCACGAAGGCTACATCTGTATGAAGAGTTGCAGTCACATTATAAAGGGCTTTTTCATGATTTCTGATTTTGCCCTATCACATCCCAGAGCCATGCTTTTGCAAAGCTGCCAGCTGGCAGGTGGAATCCATAAACAAGTAGCAGCTGTGGCAGTAGAAAGATGAAGTTTTATTTCCAGGTAAAGTAGGATTCAGATAATATGAAGTGGAGGGAGGGTGGGTGGAGGGGGGAGGGGGGATGGGAAAGGGAAGAATGAAGTTTTTTGTAACAAAGTCATAAAGTATTTTTCCCTAATTTTCTTGCATTTCCTATTTATATAAAGTATCTTGATCACTGTGTTGCTCAACAGAGATTTTCAATGGAGTTAATTTGGGAGACTGAACTAATCTCTGAAAAAGAAATTGACTAGTTACAGTTACTTTTTGGACACTTTTTCTGTATTGTGAATTGTGTGGAAATGTACAGAATAAAAATGAAGAAATATAGTTCATTTGTTTCTTTTTTTCTGGATGCTACAAGTAGTTGGTGAAAATGCTGTTTTTAACTATAGTTATGTTAGACTTTCAAAATCAGGAGGTAAAGAGTTGACTATTAGAGCAGGCAGGGACTAAATGGGGTCCCTGTTAAGGCAGGATTTTTTTTTTAAATTAAGAATTCTGCTTCCAAAATGGATTAATGGGCCAGATTTGCCCTCCAACCAGAATTTTTTTTTTAAACCCAAAAACATGTATATGTAAAACAATGATTGTTAAGACACAGGACCTTGGGCAAGAAAATAAAAACAAAAAGACAGTGATCCTTGAGAGATGGAAAGCAAATGAGATAAACCCTTTCATCACCTCATTTTGCAGACTTCAGAAAGTTTCTAGATAGTGATTTAGGGAGGGCTAATTTAGGCAGATGTGATAAGTTCCTGAGTTGCAACAGAGCTGAGAGTTTGGGATACAGAGGCAGCTAGAGCTTATAAGAGTGAACATCAGAGAGGGGAGAACTCTACAGAGAAGTAACCCGACAGATCTGTAGCGACTTCCTCTAAGTATTCAGTATATGCATGTGGAGAAACTATTCAAGACTGGAGAAAGAGCCATCCAAAATGATCTGAGGGACAATGTCCAGTGCTCACAAAGGACGGAGAATAGTGCCTGTTACCACCTGTCACATTGGAAAACCTCATAATTCATGGGGCACTAAGTTGGGTCTTGATTCACCTATGAGGAATAATTAACCATAGACTAAATGTTGCTCTAAGACTGCCTAATCATAGAGCAAGAATTGAAAGATAAAATTATTTCCAAAAAAGCCCAAGGATTTAGAATTTAAATTCACCTAGCATGAAAAAAGAAAAATTTACAACATCTGACATTCAATGTATAGGCATGCAAAGACTCAGGAAAATACGACATACAAAGAGGAGAAAAGTTAGTTAAGCCAACTGAAACTAACCCAGAATTGACATAGATGTTAGCATTAGCAAAAATATTAAAATAGTTATTTATATCCCAGATGTTCAAAGATTTAAAGACATGAAAAACATAAGAGACCCAAATCAAATTTCTAGACATAATTTCAATATCAGAGATTTAAAATAAATTGCTAAAGATTAAGAGCAGATTAATACTAAAGAAGAAAGATCAGTAAACAAAGATTCACAGTAGAAAATATCCAAAATGAAATATGGAAAGGTTTCTAAATATGGAAGAATGCATTAGTAGAATGTATTTTTTTATATTAAAACCCCTATTGAAGTAGAAAGGAACTTCAATAATTTTAATATACAAGTAGTGGGAGTCCTAAAAGAAAAGAAGAGAGAGGGAGGATATAAAAACAACTTGAAAAAATAATTCCTGGAAATTTTAGGACTTTGAATAAAAAGAACTATACAAATTAAATAAGCCCAACAAACTCAAAACACAAGAAACATGAAGAAAACTAGATACAAATACCTTGTAACCAAATTGGCCAAAAACAGTGCAAAAAAATTTTTTTATTAAAAGCCAGAGGAAAAAACTCAGAAATAAAAATAAGAATAACAGTACATTTCTCATCAGAAACAATGAAAGCAAAAAGATAAGGGAGCAACATCTTTAAGGTACTAAAAGAAAAAAAAATGCTATAAGGCTACAATTCTTTAGCCACCAAACTATCTATAAAAATAAATGGGAAATAAAAACCTTTACAGATATGTAAAAGCTCAAAGAGTTCAATATCCACAGACCTGAACTATAATAAATGTTAATGAAAGTACTTCAGACAGAAGAAAACTGTTACCATATGAAAATATATATCCACATAAAGGAATTTGGAGCAATGGACATTGTAAATATTTGAATGAATATATATCTCTATATATTTTTTATTGAAATATCTTTGATAAATGACTTTTAAAACAAAATATTGACAATATGTGGAATTTAAAAGTAAAATATATGACAATAATAGCATCAAAGGATGGAGAAAAATAGAAGCGTGTAACTATAAGATTGGTATACAATTCATGAAGTGGCATAATACTAATTGAAGCTAGACTATGATAAGTTGAAGATGTATCCTACTATAGCTCTGCAAGCGAAGAAGCCAAGAGGTCCCATTGATTAAGGGACAGTTCTCTCCAGCCACTAGTGCACAGGTTGTTAAAAAGCACAGAGTGATGGAAAATGGCAAAGTAGAAGCCTCCAGGGTTTCATTTCTCTACTGAAACAACCTGTAAGCTGGGGAACAAATTATGAGAATCAGCTATTTCAGAACTTTGGAATCTGATCAAACACAGCAACCAGGGGAGTGATTGGTGAAGGGAGAGCTTACTGAAATTTGGGGTAAGCAGGAACCTCTTTCAGACCACAGGTTGACTGCAGAGACAATGGACAATGGGACCTTAGTTACCACACACTAAGGAGTACAGACTCTGCAAAAATGTTTTGGAAAGTTCCTCATATAAATGGATTAATACAGCTCTCAGCAAGCAAAAAAAAAAAAAAAAGCTTCTGAGGATGGGGAAATCTGATTTCCAGAATTACTACATTACATTATTGAAAATGTGCAGTGTTCAACAACAACAACAATAAAATTGAAAAGCATAAAAAGAAATTTCTTAGCCTTAAAAAGAAGATAAAATGGTAAGAAAATATGGATTATTCAAATGAAAAAAATAATTTGACATTATCCCCTGCAGGTCAGATATTAAAATTTATTAGTGATAGATGTCAGCTGTCTTGAATGTGCTCAATGACTAAAGAAAACCATCAACAAAAGAAGTAAAGGAAATTGGCAGAACAATGCATGAACAATTAGGGAATGTTGATAAAGAAAAATTAAAAAGGAACCAAGTAGAAATTTGGAAGCAGAAAAGAATAATAGCTGAAATAAAAATTTCACAAGAGGAGTGCAATGGAAGATTTGGGCAGAAAGGCAGAGGAAATAATCAGCAAACTTGAAGATGAGACAATTGAAGTTATCCAGTCCAAGCAGCAGAAAGAGAAAAATGAACAAAATCTGAAGGCCCAGTGAGATGCCATCAAACATACCAAATTTTGTGTCATGAGAGCCCCAGAAGGAGAATAGAGGGAAAGAAAAGAGCAGAAAAAATATATTTGAAAATCTAATGGCTCAAAACTCCTCAAATTTGATGAAAGACATGAACATATATATCAAAATAGCTCAACAAACATTAAAATTAATTCAAAGAGATTGACACCAAGACATACTGTAGTCAAACTGTACAGAGTTTTGAAAACAGCAACAACAATAAAAAAATGACTTGTCACATACAAAGGATCTTTAATGAGATTAATAGCTGATTTCTCATCAGAAACCATGGAGTCCAGAAGGCAGCAGGATGATAAAGTGCTGAGGAAACAACAACCAAGAGCCTGTCAACCAAGAAGTTTGTATCTGGCAAAGTTACTGTATCCTTTAAGAATGAGGGTAATATTAAGACAGTGCTAGATGCACAAAAGCTAAGAGGTTTTGTTACCAGTATACCTATCCTACAAGAAATCCTAAAGGCAGTCTTGCAGGCTGAAAATCAAGAACAACCAACAGTAACTCAAAGCTATATGAAGAAACAGAGAACACTAGTAAAAGTAAATATGTGGATAAATACAAAAGCTAGTATCATTGTACTTTGGGTTTATAATCCCTATTTTTTTTCCAATATGATTTAAGAGGCAAATGCATAAAACAACAATTATAAATCTATGTTAATGACCACACAATGTATAAATATGTAGTATGTGACAATTACAATATAAAGGGAGAAGGACACAGATGATAGAAGCAGAGTGTTTAAATACTATTGAAATATAGTTGGTATTATTCATTACTTTAATGATGGTTTCCTGAGTTATAAATATGTAAAAACTGATTAATTTCACCCTTTATTATGTGCAGATTTTTTGAATGTCAATTATGCCTTCATAAACTTGTTGTAAAAAATCAATTGACTTTGTGTTGAAATACAATAAATTTATTGGCATTACCCACTTTAGAGATGGCTTTGGTTTATGAAACAGAAACATCTTTTGTTGATAAGATTATAAACCACAGTCTGCCTTAGCAGCAATCCTGAAAAAGGCTGTCAACCCTCATACAAACAAGCAGTGAAGTTCAAGTAAGGAATAAGTGTTATCCAACATTAAACCATAATGCAACTCAGATTTGAGGAGAATACCTGGCCATCACATTTTAGACCTAATTAAATACCATAAAATAAATATAAATGTTAATTTATTAAGAGTGCAGAAAAGTTTGGAATCTGTTTCTTCATTTAATAATAACTTATCAAAAGGTTAATTCTAGGATCAAATAATAAAATTATCTTTTAAAAATCTTTTTTTTTTTTTTTGAGATGGAGTTTCGCTCTTGTTACCCAGGCTGGAGTGCAATGGCACAAACTTGGCTCACTGCAACCTCTGCCTCCTGGGTTCAGGCAATTCTGCCTCAGCCTCCTGAGTAGCTGGGATTACAGGCATGTGCCACCATGCCCAGCTAATTTTTTGTATTTTTAGTAGGGATGGGGTTTCACCACGTTGACCAGGATGGTCTCGATCTCTTGACCTCATGATCCACCCGCCTCAGCCTCCCAAAGTGCTGGGATTACAGGCTTGAGCCACCGTGCCTGGCCTAAAAAATCTTTATGAGGGTCTGTAATCCCAGCACTTTGGGAGGCCAAGGCAGGGGGATCATGAGGTCAAGAGATCAAGACCATCCTGGTCAACGTGGTGAAACTCTGTCTCTACTAAAAATAAAAAAAATTAACTGGGCATGGTGGCGTGTGCCTGTAGTCCCAGCTACTCGGGAGGCTGAGACAGGAGAATTGCTCGAACCCAGGAGGTGGAGGTTGCGGTGAGCCAAGATTGCGCCATTGCACTCCAGCCTGGACAACAAGAATGAAAGTCCATCTCAAAAAAAAAAAAAATTCTTATGAGAAGAAGAATGTTTCTCTTTAAATGGACCTTCATATAGTTAATGATTTTCTTGGCTCATACCA